TCAGGAGGCTGAGATCTGAGGATCACAGTTCAAAGCCAGCCCAGGCAGGAGAGACCGTGAGACTCCTATCTCCAATAAACCACCAGAAAACTGGAAGTGGTGCTGTGGCTCAAGTGATAGAGCGCTCGCCTTGAGCTGAAGAGCTGAGGGACAGCGCCCAGGCCCAGAGTTCAAGCCCCACGACCGAGAAAAAAGAAGGATTGCCAGGAGAGTTCAGAGGCCAGAGCCCCACACACTCACTCAGGGTCCCGAGTGCCCGCAGCGCTCACAGGCCCAGGCGTGCAGTGTCCCAAGAACAACACAGAAACAGTGTTTATTGAGTCCATGTGCTTCCTTACATGTGTCCTTGTACCCCATACATCAAGGCCAGGACCCTGAGAGAACCCCGTAGGAGTAACACTTAAATCACAGACTCCCAATTCCAGGTGACAGGCTGAACACAGCTCAGGCTTGCAGGGCCAGGGCCAGCAAGATTTTGTTTTGTGGTTGTTCATTGTGGGGCTTGAACTCAGCGCCTGGTACTGTCCCTGAGCTTTTCACTCAAGGGCAGTGCCCTACCACTTTGAGCCACAGCTCCACTTCCAGTTTTCTGGTGGTTCATTGGAGATAAGAGTCTGACAGATTTTCCTGCCTGGGCTGGCCTTGAACCACAGTCCTCAGACCTCAGTCTCCTGAGTGGCTAGGATTATAGGTGTGAGCCACCAGTGCCCGGCTGTTCCTGTCTTCATAAAGCCCCTTTACTGGGGCCCAAATTTAACTAACACCTCTCTCCCCCCCCACACACACACACTTCCATTCCAGGCCTTATTTCCCTTCAAACATGGGCAGAAAAGCCATGGCATTACTCTTTTTAAGCAGCAGAAGTCTGTCTTCCATGGAAGACTGCCCAGGACAGGCCCCTGCCACCTACCCAGAGCTCTTATAGCTTTTGAATGGGGAAGAGAATACTGAGACTCTAAACCTAGCTAGACTCTTACCCTACCCCCATCACCTCTGGGCTACCTCTCTGCTGTGCCTACCCCTTACCTCCACTTGGTCCAGAGAAGCTTCTAGAGGCTCAGGAAGGACTATGGGTGTCTGAGAGGCTGAGAGGGACTAAAGGGCCACATCCCTGCTCCAAGCTGCCCACCCAGTCACACCCTCCTGGCCTCTGCCCTCCTTGCCTGCCTGTCTCTGATAAGAGGCTGTGGCTGGTGTGCGCCAGGAGCCAAGTCAAGGGGCTTGATCGCTGCTGCCAGGTTGTCCATCCCACCAAGAGTTTCAGGCTCCCAGGCCTCCTGGGACTCAGGCCCTTGGGACTTGGGCACAGGGCAGGGGGTGCACTGAACAGGGGGTGGAAAGGCACAGGGCAGGGGGGTGCACTGAACAGGGGGTGGAAAGGGCCCAGCTCTAGGCTTGTGGGGGAGGCTTGGGAGGCAGCTGATTCATGTGTGGTTGCCGAAAGTTTGGAGCACTTGCCAAGAGAAACATGAAGTGCAGCCAGGCTCAGGCCCTGCAGCCGCAGGTGGGGTGGCAGGCCCAGCCACCCCAGAGGACTCTGCCGGAGGTTCAGGTGCGCCTTGCTCACTGGGGCTCCCCACCAGGCCCCAGGTACTGGTATATCTTGATGCAGTTGTCTCCAGCATCTGCCACGACTAGCTGGCCCTGCGGTGCACAGGCCACGCCCAAGGGCCGCTCCAGCCCCTCTGACAGCAGGCAGATGGGAGGCCCAACGCGGGGAAACAGAGTCACCTGACGCCTCCGTTGGTCAGCCACAATGACATTGCCCTCAGAGTCAGAGCACACGCCTGCCGGGCGGCCAAAAGTGGGCCCCGAGGGAGCCGAGGGGCTGGCGGGCACTGCCGAACAACCACACACTCCCAAACTCCTCGGTCACAGCCAGGCCCCCGTCAGGTCCTGGGCCCACCCAGCAGGGGCCTTCCAGACCCAGAATCGCAGCCGGGGCCAGCAGCTCCCAGGCGGGGCCCAAGGTGAAGCTGTGCACAGACCCACGCAGGTAGTCCGCGACCAGGAAGCGGCCAAGGGCATCCACAGCTAGCCCTCTGGGGGACAGGAATGTGCCCACAGTGGCCCAGTGGCCTTGCGGGGCTTGTCTGGTGTGCTGGAGCGCGTGGACGGCCCCGTGGACGAGGTCGCTGACCACCACCAGCCCCGCGGCCGTCACCGCCACGTCCTCCGGAACGAAGGCCCCAGCGCCCTGCCTGCGGCACGGCAGGTGGCAAAGGGCGTGTCCCTCCAGGTCCAGCACGTGGACGAAAGGCCCGGACCCTGCTGTCAGGAAGAGCAGGCCATCCGGGGAGCAGTGTAGGCCCCTGAGCTCCCCCACAGCGCCCACGGGCACCGGGATGTGCCCAAGCAGCCGGGGCCGCGGGGACCCACGGGGACCTGCAGGGGGATCCAGAGTGAGCCACAGGCCAGGCCAGGAAGCCAGAGGGCAGCAGGTCGGCAGCAGCCGTCCGCTCAGCTTTTCTGCAACTGCAGGATGGTTGGGGGCACTGTGTGCGGGGTGCTCGACGGTCCTGGAATCCTTTCTGGGGGCAGCGTTGGCGTCCTCCTATCACAGAGAGGAGGAGCTGGGGCCGAGGCTGAAGCTGAGGTGGAGGCTGAGGCTGGGGCTGGGAGGAGGCTGGGGCTGGAGGAGGCTGGGAGGAGGCTGGGGCTGGAGGAGGCTGGGGCTGGGGGGAGGCTGGGAGGAGGCTGGGGCTGGGAGGAGGCTGGGGCTGGAGGAGGCTGGGAGGAGGCTGGGGCTTGAGGAAGCTGGGGCAGGAGGCTGGGGCTGGAGGAGGCTGAGGCTGGGAGGCTGGGGCTTGAGGAAGCTGGGGCAGGAGGCTGGGGCTGGGAGGAGGCTGGGGCTGGAGGAGGCTGAGGCTGGGAGGAGGCTGGGGCTGGGAGGAGGCTGGGGCTGGAGGAGGCTGAGGCTGGGAGGAGGCTGGGGCTGGAGGAGGCTGGGGCAGGAGGAGGCTGGGGCAGGAGGAGGCTGGGGCTGGGAGGAGGCTGGGGCTGGGAGGAGGCTGGGGCTGGAGGAGGCTGAGGCTGGGAGGAGGCTGGGGCTGGGAGGAGGCTGGGGCAGGAGGAGGCTGGGGCAGGAGGAGGCTGGGGCTGGGAGGAGGCTGGGGCTGGAGGAGGCTGGGGCTGGAGGAGGCTGGGGCAGGAGGAGGCTGAGGCTGGGAGGAGGCTGAGGCTGGGAGGAGGCTGGGGCTGGAGGAGGCTGGGGCTGGGAGGAGGCTGAGGCTGGGAGGAGGCTGGGGCTGGAGGAGGCTGGGGCTGGGAGGAGGCCTTTGCTGGAGGGGTCTGAGCTGGATTCAAGCTCAGTTCCTCAGTGCTGAATGCCCCTCGCCGGCCCTTAGGCCCAGCAATCAACGGCTGTCAGGGTCGCTGGAGTCTGGGCAACCTGGCCCACCCCTGAAGGTCGAAGGTTAAAGTTTTTGTGAGGAGGTGACAGATATGTGGCATTTCCCAGACTCACTCTCTTTGGAAATGGTCCAAATTCCTGATGACCCCACGGCCCCTGTGCACCGGGCGGGGGGGGGGGGCTCCGAGCCCAGGGGGTGATGGTCTTCTTCCCGGGCCCCTCGGGGGAGGCCGGCAGTCTCCCAGCTCGGGCCTCCGTTGTTGGAGACCAGCCGGGGAGGAGTCACCACGCAGGTGCCCGGGAGCAGGAGGAGGACAGGGGAGGGGCGTCTGGGGCGAGGCAGCTCCAGAGCACAAGTGCGTCCCTGGCCCTGCCCTGCCCAAGCCTTGGCCCAGGCCTCCTCCTCCCCTGCTGCTCCGGCAGGATGGATGCCGAAGCCCCGCTGCCCTCTCCAGGCGTCCCTGGGCCTCCACACTAGAGGCAGCCTTCAGCCTTCCCACCAACCCAGGCAGGGCTTTACATCAGGACCGCGTGCGGAAGGGGTTCTGCCGGCTAGGCCACCATCCTGTCCAGGCAGGATGGTCTCATGAGATGAGGGGCTCTAGCCCTGCTTTGGATCAGCACATCACTTCCTCATCCTACCCAGAAGCCTCCAGGTGGAGGGCACCCAGCGGGCACCTGTGAGGCCCAGTCTGAGACTCAGCACCCCAACCCCAGACTGCCCCAGCGCCTCACAGTGGGGAGCCTGATGCTATCGCCACGGCGCAGCTGAGGGTCCGGTTCAGACTGGCCCTAGCCCGGCCAGCCCAGCCCACTCGGGAAACAGAGCTTACACTTCAGGGACCATGGAGGGTGAGGCCAGCTCCCCGGGGAGGGAAGCGATGAGCTGTGGCTGCAGGCCACGGGCGGCCTCCCGGCCTGCCGCCCCCACCCAAGGCCAAGTCAGGCTGTACTAGGAAGGGGCAGCCAGCTGTGAAGGCCACTGATGCCTATCATGGCTGCAGGGGCTGGCGGGGACCCAGGGAGGCCACACAGGGTGAGCAGCTCAGCCACAGAAACAGGAGGCAGCGGCAGCCACAGGCAACACCGACGCGAGGGCCCTGAGGAGGCCCGTCCGCCGCGCCCCACACACGCCCCCCTGCCATTCCTCCCTGCCCCCCCCAGGAGGGCACCAGGGCCAGAGGTGGCCGGGCAGTGGGCAGGCACCTCCTGTGGGGGAGGTTTTCTCGGGAGTGTCCAGGCTCCCGCACAGGGACGGCAATGGAAGGAGACACATGAAGGCGGCTTCTAGTTTAATGTCCACAAGTGTGATCAATAAATAACCGTGAGCTCACTATTCCTATGTGACCAGAGGCAAGAGGCTCTGCACGGGCGGGGGCGGGGCAGTCCACATGCACACGAGACCGGAGAGCCCTGAGCGGGGAGCCCAGGGCCGGGAGGAAGGGGACGGCCAGCTAAGGGGGCTGCACACCAGCAGCCACTGCCGGGGGGCTCGGCACTCCCGGGGCGTGTTTAGGAGTCTGGGAGGCTCCAGCCCCGAGCCGGGTGCCCCAGCCCCCGCCAGGCCCGGCGGCGTCCTCGGGGGGCTGAAGGAGGAGGCCGGGGGGTGGCACGCTGGAGTCCGCCTCGCACTTGGTGGTATGGCCAGGGAAAGGCTCAAGGGCTGCAGGACCCAGCGGGCCGGGGCGCTCTGGGGCCCCCGGGGCTGGCACCGGACCTGGCGGGGGCAGCCTCCAGGCCGTAGGCAGCTCTGGTCCCTTGGTGGGCGCCCGCTTCACGGAGAGATCGAGGGGCGCGTCTGGCGGCCGGGCAGCCTGCTCCAGCGCCTGGTGGATGGTGAGCAGCTCACGGCGGATCTTGCCCAGCTGCTCCCGCAGAGGCCGGGGGGGCAGGCCCCCCGCTGGGGTCAGCTGCCCCAGGCACTGCTCCACTCTGGCAAAGTCACCCAGGGCCCGGGTCAGGTCTTCGCCCACGGGCCCCGGGCTGCCCAGCACCGGGCCTCGTGGCTGCCGAGGGAGGAGGCCCCTTGGGCCTGGGGCCTCCGGGCCACTGGGCTCCTCATCCTCAGGCCAGAGCAGCATCGTGGGCTGCAGGCTGGGGGGGGAATAAGAGCTGGTCAGGAGGCTGCACGGGCCCCGCTGTACTCAGCCCCTGCCTGTGTCCTCTGCCCCGTGTGTCAACCATGCCCCAGGGAAAAAGAATAACACCCCAGTCTAGAGCCGGGGTCCACAACGACAAACGGGAAGCCCTCTGAGCCTGACATGGCGGCATGCACCTGTAATCCTCGCTTCTTGGGAGATGGAAGTAATTTGAAGCCAGCCCCAGGAAAACGTTTGTGAAACCCCATCTCAATGGTGGCTAAGTCTGTTATCCCAGCGGAACCGTGAGTCTGGCTGAGTCCTACTCACAACGACTACAGCCAGGCACCGGGGGCTCACACCTGTCATCCTAACTATTAGGAGGCTGAGCCCTGAGGATCACAGTTCAAAGCCAGCCTGGGCAGAAAAGTCCATGACCCTCTTATCTCCAACTAACTGCCAAGAAGCTGGAAATGGTGTCATGGCTTAACTGGTAGATTCAGGCTGGAAATGTGGCTCAGTGGTAGAGCACTTGCCTAGCATGCGTGAAGCCCTTGGTTTATTGAGCTGAAGAGCTGAGGGACAGTGCCCAGGCCCAGTGCCACATACACAGAAAAAGCTGGAAGGGGAGCTGTGGCTCAAGTGGTAGAGTGCTAACCTGGAGCAAAAGAAGCTCAGGCGGGCTGGGAAGGTGGCTCAGTGGTAGAGCGCTTGCCTTGCAATGCATGAGGCCCTGGGTTCGATTCCTCAGCACCACATAAGCAAAAAGAAAAAAAAAGCCGGAAGTGGCGCTGTGGCTCAAGTGGTAGAGCGCTAGCCT